CGCAGTCCAGGACGTCTGCACAGTAGCCGTCGGCTCGGGCAGGTACTGCTGCAGCAGTGGCACGGCTGCCGGGGCTCGGGGCACCGCTGCTGCTGCACTGTTTACCCAACTTCTTAGCAGAATTTTTTTTTTAAGGTAGTAGCAACACCCTTTGTAAAACCTGCCGGGGCGTGAGATCGCTGGCCGCAGGCGCTGCAGCCCGTGTGGCTGGTGGCCAGTGGCACGGCGGGCGGCTGAGGCGGCTCCTGCACAGCCCTCCTGCTGGCCCCTGTTGCTGCAGCTCCATTTCTTGGGCTGAGTTAAGGCTTCCATTCCTCAGTTCTTCCCGTTTTGTGACCGTAGCTTTTCATTTCTGAGGTCACAGGTGTGGAAAAGCTTGTTGGGAACTACGTAGTGATGCTGCTCTCCTGTCCAAGAGAAGAAAAAGGGGTTTTGCAGCAGCCCAGCGTGACGTTCGGCCGCCCTTCTCCCAGCACTGCGGCACGAACAGAACTGCAGAGGCAGGCGCGGAGTCATCTGTGCCATGTGTTAGTTGTTAATTTTAGCTTTACCATAACTCTTGACGACAGGGCTTGGTTGTTTCCTACTGTAGGCAGCATGTAGCAGTTATCCTGGAGATACGGTGTGGCTGTAAGGCAGTAAAGCTGCAGCTCATCCCTGAGCCGTGGCACGCTGTCGGGGAGCGCCACAGCCAGATTCTCCCTCTGACTCACGCAGCTGCTGCGCACTGAGGTTGAGAGGCCGTACGGTACCATTTTCCCTGCGTTTGTGGTAAACCTTTGACTGCAGGTTAAGCGATGATGGCATTAGGCACAGGTTGAGTCCCACGCGGGTCTGAGGAGAAGGCTTGCCCAAAAAGTGGTTATATATCTGCCATTATACGTACTCCGTTTAACCTTTGCCTGCTGCCTTCTTCCCAGTTCTGGGTACCCGGTGAAGGCTGTGTGAAGCACCAGCCTGCACTGATGTCGTCAAAACAGCACCCCAGGGTTTGATGTACTGGTCCCAAACTGAACTTCTAATGCGTAGGCTGCTGCAGGGAACTCTTGCAAGTATGTTATAACAGGCTGAACGAAAATCCTATTGCTTCAATACCTTCTTTAGGTTGTTGCTGACACCTTTGCTTGTTATAATGCACTACGTTTGGTCCCTTGAGTCCAGAGCAAAACAATCGACTACATCAGAAAATACTTGTCTTATTTTTCGCTGGTGTGTTATCAGCATTTTGCTAATGCGTGAGTTGCCCAGGGAGCATCGTGCTTCTGGGGGCTGCGTTGCTGTACAGTGCTGGAGGTTTGCCTGGCTGCGTCCAGTGATGTTCTTCTGACTGACATGGTCAAGCTGAGTGAAGTGGACTGGTCAGAGGTGTGGGGAGCACGAGCAAATGTGTGGCAGCTAACTCCAGCAGGGAGTCTCTGGGAGCTCCTTCTCTTTCGGGTGTTGTTTTTGTTGGCGGTCTCTTACCCTGGTCCGCAGAGTGCGTGTGTTCAGTCTGTACTCTCATGTTGGGTTAAACACTGTGTGAGGATGCAAACATCACTTCACCGCAGTGAAGGACGCTGTGATGCTGTGCTCCTGCTCGGCCAACCTTTATGCAAACTTTGGGTATATGCAGCATCTTACAACATCTTTTCCTAGCTAAAGAGAGACACCAGAGAGGTCTGTAGGAGAGCTGATGACCTGGGTGGAAATGCAACAGTTGATGTGTTAAAGCACTGGCGGCACAGTTGGCTGCTTAGAATAGAGGTGTGGGGAGGAATCGCGTAAAGGCTGAAGCAGTTGATCCGAACTTGTGTCAAGTGAAGTGTCAGAAACGAGACATGCTTGCTCTGTAACAGAACATTCTTCATAGGCAGCGTAACAAGCTTTGGAATTAAATCTGGGGGGGAAAGAAAAGTGATGTAGCTGTTATGTCAAGGCTTTCCCAAGCTCGCAGTGTGCAGCCTGGGCTGGGACTGGTAGAGAAGCAGACCTGAGCAGACCTGCAATCTGTGCTCCTCCTAGGCACTTATGAGCTCACACCATACTTGCACCACAGCTGCATATATATACATATATATTTTCCAAAACACTCTTTTGGAATTATACATGTGCTTTTTAGTATGCTAATCATCTCTGTGGTCATTCATTCCTGGAGTTAATGACTAGTCTCTTGGAGAAAGCGAGTTAACAAACTGACAGCTGCTCATAACAAATCACCTGCTGGAGAGGCCGACGTAAGTTTAACATCCACAATAAATCCTTCTTTGGCTTCTGATGGTTCAGTGGAGCAATGGCAAAGAAATGAGGCGATAACTTCGTTTATCAAAGCAGTTCATGGCTGTAGTAATGTGTGCATGAGAGCTCATAGAAATGCTGGAGAAATGCAGACTGTGGGTTTCTGCTCCTCTTTGAGTAACATTAGGTGTAAGTGGGAGAAGGTAGATCTCTCAGCGTAACCTCACAGCCAGGCAGACAATCAGTAGCTGCCAGTCCCAGGTGCGTGGTTGGCACGACAAGATGGGCAAGAGGGTGCGGATAGGTGGGGAGCTGGGAAAGGGCTCTCTCCTGGCTCCCCTGCCAGGGGCGGACTGAAGCATCCTGCCAAGACCCGGCGCTGACGATGGCTCACTTCTGGCATGAGCCCCCCGTTCTCCACCGTGCGTGCAGCCTCCTGCCCCCGGGCCAGCAGGGACCGGGGCTCCTGCAGAGCTCGTGGCACATGCTGGGACAGAGAGCAGGTCCATGGGTGCTGCACCCCTGCTGGGAGCGATTCCTGCTCCCGCTGGCTGGTGGGGTGCTCTTCCCCATCATACCGTCCGCAGTAATCGATAACCATCTTTCACAGGCAGTTAACCATTAACTCACGGCAAATAGCAGACCTTTTTCATAACCTTTGGTTGCAAATAAATAAATAGATGTAACAGCCTTGGATAAGGCAACAAATACTCTGAAATTCCCATTTCCTATACCAGAGCTGAGCTAGCTGAAGGACCAGCACGTTCTTAACACTTCATTTGCGATGAACTGATGGACTTAACTGGCAGCTAGTTTGGGTTACAGGTTTAGCTTGGGACATTGGTGCCTGATAATATTAAAGTTACAGCTCTTGCTTCACTGGAACACTGAAGTCATGTTTAGGATTTTAAAATAATAATCTATTATTAATAGATTTATTGGGGTTTTTTAAGTATTGTTTCATTTGGCAAATGTGTTCCTGGTCTGAAATGGCAGTGCTGTGCGGAGATGTTGAACTCGCTGAATGAAAGGCTGATTTCTCTCTGTGATTTGAAATGTAAACACCAAGAAAACCATGATTTATGAAAGGTCTCTCCATTTCAGTATTTGAATTAGTAGCATAGGAAGATACTTTTTTTGTCAAATACAATTATGTTTTTTTTTTACCTTGACAGAATCCCATTTAAACAGGTCACGCCACACAGCCCATACAGGTGGCTATGTTAATGCTGCACCCAACTGAAACAGTTTGGTTCCAGAAATGGGATTTAAAATGTGTCTTGAATAGATTGGGGGGGGGGGGGGGGGGAATATTAAAGTTTCTGCCAGTTCATAGTATGCTAATTCCCAGCCTCCCCGAGCAGCCTGCATTTGTATTTTCTGTGCGTTTGTGTGTATAAAATGTTCACAGCACAGCAGGGGAAAATTCTGGATGATTAAAGCCCAATTTTGTAGTTCTCTAGTTCACAGGCTCTTAAGTATATTAGCAGTTTTGCTGATGCTAATGGTTAGTGCTAAGCTTGTGCATGCATTTGTAGAAATAGGGCCTCAAACAGTACATCGAGCACAGCAGCTTCGTTATAGAGTTGTAGGAGGCAAAAATCTCAATTTTTATTTTCTACTGGAGTGTTTTCAAAATCACACAGCCTTGTCTTGAGATGTACTGTCCTGCTACAATCGCAGAGAGACCAATGGACATCTCAGGGGGAAAAAACTTAAAATCAGTGGTCCTGAGTATGTAACAGAAGGACATGGATTCTCCAGCATTTCGTTTCCTCTTCATTGGGATACAGAAGCAAAGTGATAATTGAATTATCTCCCTGCCCTGGTTTGAATAGAGAGAGGTTATGCATAGATAGATGTAAATGCATAGACAAAAGACGCGTAAAGCTATAACTATGAGGCAAAAGCTTTTTAAAAACAAACAAAAAAACATCCCAAAACATCTCTTTGTAGAGCTTATTGAAATCATGACCTTTCTTGTGTGTCTGCCGTGTGTGGAGCTAACCGCTGACTTTGCCAGTGCTACGTTGGCTCTTCGTACTTTGGTCTCCTGTGGACTTCATGGGAATCATCCCCAGCACCGCCAAGAGCAGGTTTGGGCAGCGAAGGTGAATTTCTGACTCCCTGAACCAAAACTGCCAGCCAGAATTTTTGCTCTCAGACCATAAGGAGAGTAGAAGCCTTGCTCTTCAGTTTTGTAAGGTGCCAGGTTGAGTTTTTGAGGTTACATACCTTTCATGGAAAGATAAACAGTCATTAAATGTGACTGAGACCCGTTTTCCCGGTGCCGCATGGCTTCCACCATGGACAGACGCTGCCGATGTTGCATTGCTGGACAGGGGCCAAGAGAAGTCTTTTGATTTTGGGCTGAATTGTTGGTTTATTAGTGATTACCGAATGTGATGCAGTGGAGCACTGAGTAGTGAAGGTCTCGCTAAAGTATTTCTCGGGCAAAGGGAGTTATTTCCAGGGAGTTTGCAGATTTTCTGTCCTCTCTGGTTGCACCTGCCTCCTTCGGATCTCTGTCTGTAGCCAGCCTCCGCCTCCCTGCATTGAAACGCCAGCAGAGGCTTTCCCCCGCCTTCTATTTTGGGTTAATTTCCATGCATTTGTTTCACTCAAGCTGCCTGTTGCTGTCGTGGGTACTTGAATCTATTCAGGGTGAAGAGCTCATTGATTTAGGGCCTGATGGGGGTATCATGAATGTTGTGAATCAACTGCCCGGAGCTTTTTCAGGAGCTGCGGAGGATTCTAACTTTCATTCTCTTTCTGCTTTGTAGGTATTTGTATAAAATGTGGAAAAGGTGTGTATGGAGCGAGCCAGGCTTGCCAAGCAATGGGTAACCTCTATCACACCAACTGCTTCACGTGCTGCTCTTGTGGTAAGTCAGATCTACCATAGCCTTATTAAGTGGCTTCCTTTTGTAATATGTATTCCTTCAGCAACCTCATCCTGCCTGCTTCCTCAGGCAAAATTCCCATGCAAGACTCCAGCTTCAAAAGTTGTTTTTTTATTTGCCATCTGTAAGTGTTCAATGGTATTTTCTTAAGCAACAGCCCAGAAAAGTAGTATTTGGTTGTTTTAAGGGCTGCATTTACAAAATGGCTTCAACCTGGCCGTTACAAGCACTACATACTTTACAGTTCCATAAACACAAGTGATCTAATGTGCATTTGTCCTTTTTACAGAAAAGCAGTAAAATTTGTGCAGCCAAACCCATATTTTCCCTCACTTTCTATTTGCAAATGCAACTCTAGTCAATGATATATATTTGTCACTTCTGTGTACACATAATGCTCAAAAATTGTTCTCTTATGTTTGAATGTGATAAGAACAAACAGAAACTGCATGCTGAAACACCTTAAGCTATTACAATATTTTATTTTTGTAGGGGAAATCTTGTTGGTAAATCACTGTCTCCTCCTTGCCCATTCTCACAACCTTTTTAGGTTTCTCTTTAAATCCGAATGTGTCTGAAAGTGATGTGTTCTGTGTGTGATTTGGGGAAGCCATGGCTTTGCCAGGGGGAATGCGACTTGGAAAATGCAGGGTAGCACTTTCAGAAGTGTTTGCCTTAAGTCAAGCATTGTGAACTTAAGTTGGAAGCTTTCTCGCTGTTTTGTCTGTAACTGCTCACAAATTCCCACTGAGTTCAAGGGAAGTGTGAGAGCTCAATTTTCAGGGGTCAGGTAATTTTTCTTGATATACCCACACATACATTTATGTTCCTAATACATAAAAATATTTGCCTGGATGTTGAAGGTCTTGTTGCAATACATATACACAGCAAAGGATTTACTCTGAGCAGAATATGCCGAGCATAGATTGTTTATAAAAAGGATTAATTAAGGATTAGAAAAAGAGTAAAAGATTATTGGCATAGAACCAAAGAAGTTGATAATGAAAAGGCCATTGTAAAGTTCACTTGTGAAAGGAGAAGTGTTGTCTTTTCTCCTGAGATTTGTACAGATAAATATTGGTTTAAAGAAACCTACAACCTGAATGTAGAATTTAGTGACCTTTATAAATGACTCTGGACCATTACCAGGTTCTGGAATAAACTCGCCTCAAACCTTCAGGGATCGCTCTCGACTTTGCTCAAGTCTGACAGTGAATGAGTAGCTGTTTCGTTGGCTCCCAAAGTGAACAGCATCCTGCTTAGCAGAGGATTACAAAATATGGTATCGGATAATATCTATCCACTCATCGCCAACATTAACCTAACCTAATTGCATGGGTGAATTCCAGCTTCCTCTCCAGGGCAGATGGGGGGTTTTGTTTTTTTAAAGTAGTCAGGATGCGTGTTTGTTACCACAGGGGTCTGTACACAGGTCACTCTGTTCCTCAGAAGAACGTATAAGGGCCGAGGAACGCATTTTAACAGCCAAATACAAACCCAAGTTAATTACTCAAAAGCACAACAAGCTTTTCTGACTGTCCTGGTGGGGTGTGTGTGGCCAGTGTACATCTACTATAGGGCAACTTGAGACATGTCCGTTCGGAGCGTAGTTTTGCCCCACCTCGCAGTGCTGGTGGAATTTTGTGACTCACACAGCTTTCCGTGAGTCACGCACACACACGAGGAAACGGTGCTCCAGGTTGTCTTCTGAGCTGCTCGCTGTGCTGCTGGTGGGCCCAGCTATTGCCTGCCAGCATGTTTCGCAAGCAAGAAGGGCTTGGGTTTCCTTCTCTCTGCAACCTCCGGTACGATCCCATCAGAAAGGGGATGTGTAGGGACTTATGTTTGGTGCTGAAAAGGTGGATGTGCTGCTAATGTGGCAGCACTGCCTGAGTGCAGGTAAAAACCTCGATCGAAGCTCAGGTTCAGCTCCATGCAACCGTGAGTCAACCGCAGAGCTTTTCCTCTCAGCTCAGCTCCGAAATAGTATCAAGGTGAGCACAGATGGAAAGGGGGTGTTGCATTAATAACTCCTTGTTTTCCCACTTTATGTGGGGCTGTGCAGTCCTTAGGAAAAGCGGAGTGATTCAGGGCAGTGCCAGCAGATCCAGACCTTGGGAATGAGGCATGTGGGTCCCATCTATCAGAACTGTGTCCTGGAGTGTGCTGCTGAAAAGGCTTTACAGGACATCTTGTACAAGCAACCAAACGCAAACTTCTCACAGTACTGCCGTTCATGAACAGAGAGTTCATTCTGCCTTCAGTGTGGCCTTTGGTGGGATCCAGGTGAGAGTTCTGCACTGTAATGAGAAAAAACTGGAGAGGGTCCGAAAGGAGTGACATAGATGATTAAAGGCTGGAGAAAAGCTAATCATGAGAGCCCAGTGTGTTTTGAGTATCACAAATGATGGAGGGACATGTGGCTGGAGCTTGTAAATACTTTTACCAGAAAACAGCGTTAGAAAGTGGTGTCACACGTCCTAGAGACAAACACAAGAGAGATTGTTTCTGGAGGCTGAAATTACACAATTCAAATAGGAAATCAAAGACAGTTTTTCTACAATGAGGATGATTAACTGCTGGAATGAAAGAGCAAGAGAAGTGGCAGATTCTCTGTTCTTCTTTGTTTTCAAATTAAGACCAAATGTCCCTTTGGAAAGTGTTTTAGCTTGAGCCAAGCTTTTTGATTCAATACATAGGTAACCGGGTGATCATTAATGACTTCTATTAGGCGAGAGGTCACAGCACACGGACTAACGCTCCTCCTGAGCCTTTGATGGGAGAGTGGAGAAGAACATTGGTACTCTCTGCCTAAAGCGGTTCCTATGCGCTGGTCCCTGTGTATACTTGGAAATCTGACATAGAGAAAGAGCACAAGCTTGCCTTTCTTTTTTTCCTCTTTTTTCCCCAAATAACGAAGAACAATCCAAACTCTTCTCCAGCAATTATCAATCTTACTTTAAATATAATGAACCTAGAAGTAGAAGGCAGTAACCAAAGAAGAAAAATTCTGTACCTGAAGACATGTGATTTAGATAAGGGCCAAATATTTAACCAGCTACAATTAATAAGTAAAAGAAAAAATATTTAAAACCCTTGGGAGAAGTTGTGGTTTGGAGACCACTCAGGCTGAAATGTGATAATGAGTGATGGAGCCTCCGAGGGCCTCGTTTCCCCACTCGGCACTGAGTGTTTTCAGCTCAACGAAGACAAGTGCAGTTGTGCAGAGAAGTGGGAAGAGACCTTCCATAGGAAAGTCCGCCCGAGTCAGAGTCCTTTCTTAAGGACTGCCATGAGTTTCACTTTGGTTTCAGCGCTGAGTGCCATGTGTTAGGGTGCCCTGGTGGAAAAGGGCAGCACCGGGGAGCGTACAGCGCTTGCCCCAGTGCTCGTACATCACACCATGGCTGGTGGGTTTGTGTTGCTGGTAATTAAGAGGAAAACCTCTAATAAGCCCACAGTTGCAGGCACCGGCCTCGCTCGTGTAGAAGCGTGAGGATGCAAGGATGGATTCTCAGGGCTCTTCTGTGCTGACGGTGGTTAGTTCTTGAGAACATCAATGCAGAAAGAGGAGGAAATATTTCAGATACAGTAAGTCAACAGGAGACTTCTGTCTCCTTTAGATGTTTTGGTAAAACGCTCGGAGGGTAAACCTCTTAATTGAAATCTCTTCATTGTTTTGCTAGGTTCTGGCAACTTTGGGATAAAACTCAGTACTATATTGATTCAGAGTTGTACAGGATGTCCTCAATAAAAGGAAATCTTGCCAGTGATCTGAGGTCAGAAGAATGGAAAGGAAAAGTAAATGACCTACTAGCAGGCACATTTTATGTTTTAAAATAAAATGCTGTGAAAAGGTGTTCGGTGGGCTTTGGACAGTTGAGTCTCGCTCCCATAACTGAGCAACTTAAGCATCTCAGAACTTTGTTCTTTCAGTTAAGTTTTGTTACGTCTCTGTGTAAACCCGTGTTGCCTTCAGCAAGAAGCGGTGCTTCTCAGACAGCTTTTCTCAGGGGTTGGATAATTCTCTTCAGATAACATATAAGCCAAAGCAATCTGGTTTCCTCGGGGTCAAATAGTTCAATGTAGATCTTTATCACTAATCTCTTGGAGAAACCAACTGAAGTTTGTTAGGATGGTTTTTAAATGTAGATTCAAATCCTCCCTCAGCCCTAACACCAGCAGAACCCCTTTTAGGCCTTGATTCAGCAAAACGCTTAGACATGTGCTTAAATATGTTATATTACTCATATGTAAGCATGCTTTGCTGAATCTTAAATAACGGAGATGAATTCAGGCAACAACACACACTGTCTCTTCTGTTAAGTGTAAAATTTTAGTTTTGGCAGGAGTTCAGTGGCAGATTTTGCTTACGGAAGACAAGAGCTGAAAAATGTCTGCCTGAAAAGCTCATCATCTAATCCCTCTTGGTAGTATTTCAGAGCATGACAGGATTTCTCGAAGAATAATTGCAATAATGCCAGATTGCTTGTGTGCTCTAAGTGCAGGTGATCGGTTTGCAGGAATTAATGGGCTCTATTTGATACTCATTACAGAAGATAACTTATCGGGTGCTTCCAGTTTGCAGATCGTAATGCCATCTACAGCATCTTTTCAGGCTGAACGTTTTAATCCAGTGGCAATGACTGTGGAAGCTGCAGCAAGATAAATCTTTACGATGAGGAGTATGGCTTTGTTACTCGTTACTCTGAGGGTGTAGGTGATGGGCAGGGAAGGGGCTTTGCAGAGCTGAGGGTTTGGAGCCTCTGTGTACTCTCAAAGCTGAGACGTATTTCACCACGAAAACCAGGAACGTGTTCTGCTCTCTTACATGAAGGCAAATGTTTGAGCATGCCATTCGTCTTTAATTTGCACTTTTGCCACTGGTGTTTAAGGCACAGGAAATCACTGCAAGATCACTCAGAAGCCTAAAGCAAACGGTATAATCCTCAAGGTATGTGGCTGGGTTCTTACCTGGTTGC